TGTCTCTTATGAAATCCATACACCCTGAGACATAATTTGTCCCCTGATTGCATGGCCAGGCATAAAACCTGCTGTGAATAATCACACATGCACATTAACATTTTTACTATTAAAAATACTTGCTGATATTATTGAAATTTATGTTTCAATAACATTTTCCCACAGTTTTCAGAAGTCTCGTAATAATGCATGAACAACTAGTGGCAAATAGGAGCAGTGTTTTGTCTACTGTATTCTGAGTGTTTTAGAGCTAAGCTCCTATTTTATTTTATTTTTTTGTCATGTGCACCTTTTTTTTCTTTTCTATTTTTTAAGGTTACTTCCATGTCCATTAACTAAGCAGTGCATCAAGGTGCAGGCCCAGGCACTGGAACAGAGTCATTCAAAGTGTTAAGCTGCTAGAAGTGTATCTGTCATGCTTTTGGATCAAGGTCAACTAACTCCTGCTCACTGAAGAGACAGGAATGATGTGAGAGTAAGGCAGGGTCAACAGATAGCTCATATGTGCTCCTCCTGCCACCCCTGTTTTGGGGAGTGAGGAGAGCATAACATGGATACAGCCAGACCAGGTCATTGGCCTCACTGACAATAAGAGGCTGTTGACTGTTTGCTCTACAAGCATAGACATAACCAGCTCACAGCAACTCAATTACATTTGTATGTCCATTTTTATTCACAGAAGCATCCAGGTGTGTCTTTGAAGTTAAGCACCTCTTTAAACATTTTCAAGACTAGGCATTGTTTAATTGAAGCTTAAATCTTTTCTCTAAAGTAACTCAGACTTTTTAAATTAAGGATCATTCTCATGTCAATCTTGAAGTCAAGCATCTTAATAAGAAGCTTAATTAAAAAAAAAATAATCACAGAAATTCATCTGGCAAAACATTTTTTAAAAAGTGTCAAGTGAGGAGATTCTACCTATGATGGAAATGAACATGCAGTTAACAAAATTTTTATTTTTTCTGTAAATAAATGTGATTAAAGGTCGCTATTAAAACAAAATTAAAACAAACAAATATTTTTAAAAAGGCTTTACATTAAAGAAAGAAAGAAAAAAAAAAGAACAAAAGCTTGATTTCTCCAAAAAGGTGAGAAAAAAAAGTAAGGTCAAATGCATTGCCCTTTTTATTTTACTAGCACACACAAAGTAACAATATAAAAATTAATTTGGTCTACTAATTTCTTCCTTCTGCTTAAATGTCTGCATTTGGTAACTGTAAGTATACTAATTAATTACTCATAGCAATTTAATGTGCATTTGTTCCCAGGTCTTGTTTTTTTTTTAAACCATCTTTTGGTAGGGTTACCATTCTCATTATCCATAGTATAAGTAACTGCTATACTTCATGAAAGCTTTTTCTGTCACACGGAATGGCAAATTACCTCCTCAATTGTGATTACTGAATAAAGGTATGTCTGCCAAGCTCATCTAGTTATGGACTAACTTACAGATATTCCAAATGACATAAGGAAACTAAAAAACCCGAAGTCGTAGTATGGGCTCAAGTTCAGATGTCGAAATATGCCCCAATGCATGACATATCTGTACTTTTGGTCAATGTTAATAACCAAGTTTACCTTCAAATGCCTCTCAGGAAAGTAGAAATTTTTGCGGAGCTCCTCCGGTACACAGCAAATAAAGTCTCTATACATATTTTACATGTGTTTCTGAAATGTGTCAAGAAACTACTGCAAAGAATAGTAATTTAAATATTATGTTCATAATATATAACTGTACATCAACCTAGGATGCTCTTATATAGTGCTTAATCTGTTGTTCTGTATTTTTCAGGAGATTTTGCCACAAAATTACTCAATTCTCTTACACTCCTGCAATTATTTTTGTGAAAACTGCTTATTGTTTCTTAAGCTTAAGAGATTACTTAAATCAACAAAATTTCAACTTTCATTGTACAATTCTAGCAGGAAGCACTGATGCTGAAAAACTGTTTCAGAGTTCAGATTAACTTTCTCATATACCACAAAAAAACAATTGCTGGGTTTTTTATGCATTTCCTTGCTTTATCAGACATATCAATCAATTCCAATCAAAACCTACTTGCTTGAATTTTCCCTAAACAAACCGTATATAGACACAAAAAGAGAACAAATCAGTCAAACAGAACACGTCTCTAGCTTCCATATGGCTACATTCTCCTCTAGTATTGGGGAGCACAATACTGTGCATTATGAGGATGCATAATTGACATCAATACTTTCCAATCAGGACGCAAATCTTACTTTCTGCATTGTCACAAATGGTAACAAAACCAACAATTCTATTTTACTTACAAGAACACTGTCTTGCTACAGGCCTGAGAAATGTTTCACTACAAATTCTGCTACAATGTATATTATTATTATACACGACTTAAATATATGATGTAAGCATTTTATAAAAGACATGCTTCCTTACATCTGTACTTTTCTTCCAGAAGGCCCTTAGATAGAGACATCAAGCCAATTTTCAGGGACTGCACTCGAATTTTTCCAGTTCGGCCACTGAAATTATAAAGATAAGACCACATAACACAGTTTAATTTTATATCATACCAACTCAAGTGTATTAAAAATGCAAAGGCATTGGTGAGCCCTACTTCAAATACACTTCAAATCTCAAAACAAATTAACACTACAGATCACATTAATAACGCTTCTTGTACAAAAGCTCAGTTTGCCTTCTAAGTGGTTTACATGTCAAAACAGTTCATACTACTCCAAAAGGGCAGACATTTAGCTATGTAAATCTCTCAATGTGATTTAATAATATGATATACACTGAAAAAAATACAGGAACACACAGCAGGAAAGCTTATTACCCAGTGTCAAACACAAAGACTGCAAAGTAGAACCAAGTTTTCATAGCACAGTATTTTGTCAATTTTTTCAATTCATTTTTTCCTTTGATGTTTAAAATGCTCTGACATACATGTGTAACAGGACACAAACAGCCAACCACATGCAGCAATTAAATGATGTGGAGCTATTGTTCTTTCTAAGCAATGTGACTTCAGGCTCATCTTGTCAAAAATGAGAAAAAAAAAATAAAATATAATGGCCAAACCTAAAAAACCTTACTCAACTTGAGAACAGGTAAGTGGCTACCAAAGTAATTGATTCTAAACCTGCAATAGAAGCACTGTTCAAAAAGATAAAACCAACAGCAATAAACAAGGGTACCTGGAAAAGGACAATTTTAAAGTTCAAAAGATAAGTGCAGAAACATCCTTAAAAGATCTGATGATATTTTATTTCAAAGATCAAAAAACACCACACAATTTCTCTTTAGATGAGACATTGCACACAACTAAATAAAACAGTAGCTAAATTGTATTATATACAACCCCTGCATTTAAGGTTAGCTGGGTCCTTCACCAGTAACACAACGCTAAAATTAATATGATCACAAAAGTTACTTTGGTCTGTTCTGTCATTCAGAAGTGATATATCCTTTAATTACTTCTGCAGTAGTTATTAGGTATCTTTTTCTGTCCTATCCTTTCAACATAGGGCCTGCTGTCTGATTCACTTCATAAATGTTGTGCTGAATAAAAAATTATTAATTTACTTCTGTGCTCTCACTAAATTAGCTAAGTGCCTCACAAATATTAATACATTTGTCTTCACCACCATCACCTAATCTAAGGAAACTAGATACTCTATTCCACAAGATAGAACAGAAGTACAGAGAAATTATTGCCAAATTAATCAAAAACACCCATTACTTGTACTGCCTAGTTTGAAAATCAGGACCCAATTTTCCAGTATGTTATAAAAGTGTCACCTATTTTATACATTCATGCTTAGCTTCAAATTACCTCTTTCAATCACAGACTCTACATCATTCTGGCATACCTTAGCGTGTAAATGGCTCAGTTTGCAACCTTAATGAAATTCTTTCATCATTCTTTCCTGTGTAGGGTTGTCTGTGTTTTAACTTTGTATTAAATGGGAAAAAAAAAAAAAAAGCAGAACACTCATTTGGCTTTGATTTAACTCAGGATTGACTAAAGAATCTGTTTATGAAGTTCAGAAAAAAACTATGCAGCTAAAAGGTAGAATATTAAGATCCAAAACTCCTTTGATACACAAACACAGTCTCCACCATAGTAAAAAAAGAGGTCTCTTTGATACACAGTCTCCACCATAGTAAAAAAAGAGGTCTGTGACATCTGTAAATTATAAATGCACTAATCAAGATATAATTGACATTAGATTGTTGAATATAAGCATACAAAACTATGGTTACCAGCAACGGTAGACAAGTATTCTGTAGTATCATGATGGCAGAGCCAGACATACTAAACATCTTACCTAAATCTGTGAACAATGTAAGGCCAAAGAGGCAACCAGTGATGGGCACGGCTGCACACTGGAGCTAGCCAGACAAGTTACCAGAGAGAGGACTTGATTAAGAACATAAGATTGCAAACAGAAATATGCAATAGGGATAGCTGCAAAATCAATGGAAAACACTTTAAGCAATATTGTTCAGAGGAAACTTATGTGACCCTGAGAGTGCAGGGCAACAGCATGAAAACATCAGGCACTAGCAAGTAAAACTAAGGACTACCAAGGATGGCAGCTACTAGTTATCTACGTCACCCAAAAACAGAAGGCAGCCTGATAGATGTCTAAAGGTCCCCACAGATACCTTCCCTTGATATCAGTGGAGACCAAGTAGCTCTTTTTCCTGCCTTACAGAGAACCAAGTCCTTCCTGGAGTGCTTCTGAAAACTACCATCAGCTGCCATCAAAACCAGAGAATAAAGTTAAGGCTGACTGAGCAGGTTTCTCTACCCTTATTATTCCTCAGAAGTCCAGATTTTACTGAACTTATCCCAGACCTTACCAGGATGTTACTGTTAGAATTTGCCAGGTGTGTAAGTGCAACAGTAAATAACGAAGTTGTAATTCTTCAGGGGAAGCCTGGGACATAGAGAATGATTATGAATGACAGATTGGATCATATGGAAAAGGTTAGTATATGTGCAATCCCACAGATACCCTTCCTAGACTAACGAACCAAAGAAATTAAAATTATAAGAATGCATTATCAAAAGTATCCTAACATCACAAAAATAAGAACATTTCAAAGTGGAAATAAAAGAAGTCAGATAAACATTGCAAAATTTTAAAGCAGTGCATGTAAAAGTTTCTTTATGGGCATTGGGTAATTTTGATTGAAATAATGAGTCATCCCCCACAGTTAGTACACATATTCTATATTATGTATGACAGATTTTGAATTATCTAAAAGAATTCATTTCAAGGGGTGATGAATTATTTCATTAGTCCATTTCATAGAAATTACTTTTGGAGATTTTAGAAAAATTGACAATATATATTCCAGAACAATAACCACCAGCTATTGCTCTTGGATGATTTAAACACAGGCCTGGCTAAATGATTTCATAGAGCAAACAATTTACTTCACAAATCTCATTGCAATATGCAATGTTTGTTTATTTATTATTTCATTTAAAAACCCAAACAAATAAAACAAAACAAAAACACCAAAACCAACAACAAAAAACCCCAAACGAAACTCTGGACTAACCAAAATAAGGAACTTTAACTTTGGAAAATGCTTACAGGGCAGATGTTGCTGCCTGGAACAACCTTTTAGTCCTTGAAGAAGTGAAAGTCACCAAATAAATTTAATGTTCCTCTCTGCTACTCAGCTTGAAGAATGAATCATTCCTGATGTGTCAGAAAATACCAGAACACAATAGACTTGCCTACTATTTCTAAAAATAAGCCACTTCTTTTTAAGGGCCAAAGAAAATCTGTAGGTAAGTCTGAAGAACTACCCAGTTTGTCATCAATCTGTGAATCATCAATTACATCTCTGGTTAATGGCATGCAAGTAAAAGACTCTTTTAATAGGCAGTTTAAGATTTGAAACACTATATAACACCAGTGCAATAAACAATGAAAATGCCAAGATACAAATTAATTCTTCCTAAAGGACAATTAACAACACACACACACACACACAAAAGGCAGCTCAAAATTAGTGACTGTTCTGCCTTTTCTGTTTTGTTTTGTTGGTTGTTTTTGTTGTGTTTTTTTTTTAAATCAAGAGGAACCATTAATAAAATAAAGGTTTGTTGCTTACTATTTGCATTTTAAATATGAACAGATGAAACAACTGACTTCTAACTGCAGTTAGGAAACAAAGATAAGCTGAAGAAAATAGAATGCATTTGTAAGCAATCTGAAAAAAAACCAGCGAGTAACTACAAGAAACTCTGTGACATTATTATTCTTCTAAATAACCAATAACATTTAAGTCAAGCAACCCATTTGATCTACTGTTCTATTTGCATGAGAAGCGTTCATTCAGCCACAATACAAAGCTGTGCAAAATAAAATTAATTGCAGAAAGAAGTCCTAGTTGTTATTGGGCTCTCCAATGTTCCAGCAGTAATGAGGAGTCCAACTAACAGAAATGTCACAATGCTAAACAGCAATATTTGAATGTCAAGGCATAATAGGTAAATAAATTATAAATGGTCTTTCTTCACTCCTTCCCTCTTTCCTAGAACAATATTTAAAATAAAAAATAAAATATCCAGAAAGCAAAGTCCTGGCATGCAATCTGCTAGAGGGCAAAAACCCAAAAAGCTATGAACTGTTAGAATTCGGTACTGACTTGAGTGCATGCAGCTAAGATACTGCATATGTCAAGAGGTAACACCTCTCTTTTGCAAAGCCACATATAAGAATTTCTGCCATTACTCAATAAATACTTCTGTTCTTCTATCTTCAAGTTGAGAGAAAGGAAAGAAATTGGCTAACTAATCTCATGCAGTTTAGAATCTGTGATTTTTAATTCCGTGTATAACTCTGAACAAAACCACATATTCGATTAGTCACACTAAAGTGATCACCCCATGTATTGCACTGCTGTGTCTTTAGTCAGCTCCAGAAGAAACCCAAAAAACCTTTGTTCATGCAATGTAAGGAGGTACATTACAGAGAACGGAGGAGTTTATGGAAACCAAGTCTATTCCCAGTTTTTACTACAGAAGGAGATGAGAATAGTAAACATCACTAAGAAAAATGATCAAACAACTCAAGACTCCAAACCACACTAAATAAAAGCATACTGATTTTAGGTCATGCAGACTGATATAGTGTGGGGCAGGACAGAGGTCAGAGCTCAACATTCAGCAGAAGTAAGAAGTGTCTGGGGGCTCAGAAAAGATTGTCCAAAACCATACAAGGGGCTGTTGAGGTGGACCTTTTCATGTCCTCTGAGACTCAATGCTTTCTCTGGAAATAGCAGACATGCATTTAAATAAGCCTACGAGTTCTTACTGTAAGCATCCTCAAACATTTTTGAGCAAATTCCCAATCCACTGGGAAATACGGCTTTGCTGCCAGTGCAGGTGGATCATATTGCACCAGCACTCAAAAATGATATGAGGCAGAAGCTACATATACTGGAAGTGAACTGGGACCAGGACACTGCTGTGCCTTCAGATTCTGAGAAGCTTTAGTGCTGAGATCAAAACAACCACCATCTGACAGAGGATTCAGGACAGGGAACTCAGCCAGGATTATGGCATGCCAGTAATTAAGTGTAAAGTAAATAAGTATAAGTAAAAACAACTATCCCCACCTGTGGCAGAGATAGGATCTGGTACAAATAGCAACCCATTTGGGCAATTTGGAACATTTACAGTAGAAACACAGCTAAAGCAGCATATTCAGTTCTCTACTCACATACACATTTCTTTAAACCACTTCAATGTTTTTTTGGTAAACAATGTAATGTAAGTTCAGTATATCTGAGCAGGACAGAATAAGAAGCGTCATTTTAAGCAACTGCACTTTCATTACAAAGGCAAAATTATTAAAAGGTAGACTTTTTACTAAAAAAAATCTTCAGGCTTTATAATTTTTTCTATTATCACAAAGATTTCCTTATGAAAGTAACTTAAAAAAATAAACAACAGTCCTGTAAGTCTAGCATTTTTTATATATTAGATGGGCAAATCTTATCAGTTGTGTCTCAATGGTTTATACTTTGTTACTATACATTGTATTCCTAAGGTACAGACTGTGAATAATTATTTATTTATTTTAACTTACCTGTCATATACATTGAGTAGCCAGTTAAGACACATGTCTACACAAAGAGGAACATTCACCAGATCTCTGTGTTTCTCTTCAAGTCCACTGTAGATGCTAGTGAGACAGCTGATCACATCCTGGACACCAATCAGCTGGTCATTTTGACTCAACTTGTGCTGTTTGAAAATTTCACTTGTTGTGTTCAGATCCAGCAGGTCCACTACTCGGTGATTAAAATAAAACACAAAGGAAACAAATTAAAAATCAAAACAAACAAACAAAACCAACAAACAAAAAACAACCAAACAACCAAAAAACCCCAAAACAAAACAAGGGCATTAATGTAGATGCTCAAGCATAGCATTCACAATACTTGTTCACATGAATATTGTAGCAAACACTGCAGACAAGTCAAGAAGTAGCTTTCATTTAGTAACATTATAACAAAAAGCTGTTCTCTGTTTGAAGCCTGCAGCATTTTGGTACTATGTATTTAAAAAAAAAAGAATCAACAAGAACACCATTGCAGCACTGCACTGCTCAGAACAACATTTTAAAAGCCACTGAAGTAGTCTATGTAATTAGAGGAAACTTACAGTGCAAAAGAAGGAAAAATAATGTAAGTTAAATGGTGGTGTAATTTGCAGTGGCTGTTTTTGACAGAAGTGAGGACTTAAGCAAAACAGTTACACAGTATCAGCATGCTTACTACACGTATACAGCATGAAGTTGAAGTACATTCTGAGCTCATAAAGAGATGGTTCTGGAGAGCCAATAATGCATTTACACTATAAATGTCATCTCTCCAAGGAAATGAAACATGACAATCTCAGATGTGTTGTAAATAACTCTGCACCGATAATGCTCAATAAGGACCCCAGAAGGAGAGTCTCTGCAAATCAGGTAAGTCCAGCTTGGGTTGGAAAGTAAGTAAAGCAGAAAAAAAGAAGCAAGACAACACTAACTACTATGAGCACTTATTTGAAGAAATCAATGACCACCTACCAAAAGATAAGGTTATGGGACAGAAGGTTACAGTCCCAATCCCGTTTCCTCAATTTACCCTTCCTATCACTATAAAATGAGAAACAGTACCTCACAATCCTCACTGACATCAGCACATTCTGTTCAAACTTGAAAGCATCAGACTTGCACAGACTTTCCCTTCCCTTCCTTTTCCTCTCCTTTTATTTATTTATTTATTTTTTTTAATTTACCAAACAGGCACACTGCTAATTGCAGCAAAACACCTTGCCACTAGGTTTGACCTGAGGTACCCAAAGTACTCAGGAGTTCACTGCAGTGCAATTTTCTACAACAGCTGGAACATAGGTAATACACCAGAAAAAACTCACAGGCATATTTAAAACCAAAAGAAAACCCACAACACAATGCAAAACAGGCTATTTTTTGAGGTAAGAGAGGAGGGGGATGAAGCTAAGTGCACAACTCTAACATGTTATCCAGCCACATAAATACTGCACACAGGAGAGATGACCACTTTTCTTGCTTCTCCTTCACGATGAACAGGAAAAATACCCCAACAAACTCTTAACATTATTGCAAATAATTTGGAGGTAGGATTTCTTTCAACATGTTTTTTTTTACTTACAACCTACCCTTTTTAAAGCCAAGGAATACTTGGAATGCTTTGGAATGTCACAAAATTTTAGTCCACTTGGCCTGGCTTAGCATAACCGCCCTTGCCCTGAAAAGGGCAATTCAAGAGAGAATGCAGCAAGCCTGCTCACTTCACGTCTTGATTTGCTGGTATTAAGATCTTGCATTCAACATCTCTGCCACAGAATTCTAGAGGGAACTGGGAGAGGCACTTTCAGTATTTTCATACAAAGAGGAAACTCTACTACTGTACCAATGCAAATTAAGCAAGGCTTACACTTTTGGATGACACCATTCATGGAGAACAACCAGAGGAATCTACTTCCATCCCTGCATCTCTTCAGCAGTTCCCTGGCTGTATGAACCTTGGGCACAGTCAGTTACTCTGTCATAGCAAGGTTTAATCTATCCACCAACAGAGCTCCTGGATTGGGCTGATCTAAAGAGGGATTATTTTCTCATTACATTTCCATTTCTGCAAGTTTTAAAATAAACTGTCTTTATGAAGATGAGGTAAAGCTAACCTGAAACTTGCATGCTGTAGCTGGCATGAAGCCTACTGTACATGACTACTAGTGCATTTTTGCAGTACCTTTCTGCACCTGCTCAAACATGCTGAATGACCAATCCGGTCGTTAAGCAACAAATGGACACAAGGGTACTTTCTACAGTGAGGAGAGTTTCCCAGAGAAAAACTATAAACAGAAACCACGTCAATCAGCACAGTTCAAGCAGAAGTGACTGACTGACTCAGGAGCAAGCAATGACATGCAGCTGCTAATGGCAAAATTGTATCTGCTGTAACCCCACAGCAAACAGGCTGAAATTGTTCTGGAGCTTTTTGTCACAGTTTGACTCAGGACTGGCAATTGAATCAGTGACAATAACGGTCTTGATGTCACTTTTGTATTAGAAAGACCTTGTGAATAATCACAGTTCCTGCAAAAGACTGGATAGCTCTTCCTTTTAGTCCAGTGTGCCTTAATGTACATTCCTTAGCCTTGTGTGGTTGATTTTCCTATTAGCATTCTTAAATTTTAAATCACACACAGAAGCTCAGTGACAGAAATTCAGAATATACATGGTTGTTTTTTTCCCCCTTTTTCCCTTCCAGTACTACAATTCAGTATCTGGGGCAATGTAATTTCTTGAAAAGGAGCTAAATTATGCTGCACAAGAATAAAATATTATAGTCAGAGCCTAGTGCTGCATAGCTGCCCAGTACAATTGCAACATAGGATACTCTCTCTGGCCTCATTCTTCTTCTGCTACAGCAGGAAAGTGCTCTTTAGTATGTCTGCCTCATTTAATCTGAGATGGAGAAGCTAATAAAGAATTTGTTCTTTCCAAAGTGCAACCTTGCTCAGATTCTTGCAAAATAAATACATGTAAGTAACACGCACACTTAGTCTCTGCAGGAATCTACTTTCCAAAAACCAGAACAAGATGAAACATGACTCTACTTGTTTGCTTCTAAAGATGAATAAGGGGAGTGGGAGAGAATAACTTCCCCAGAAACATGTTTTTTTGACACTTACTGAGTTGGAAGAGAGACTTGGCATCAGAAAGTTTTCCAAAGTAGCAGTTCTCAATCGCACACTCTTGAACCTGCTTGTATAGCACTAATACTGTGTTACCAGTCCTCACTACAAAGTCAGAACCTATCAGGTGCAAGTGAGACTGTGCGTCCAGCTTCAGTTCTGCCCTTGGAGTTCTCTGCAGATATACATACATTGTGGCTGTGACAGCAATTTGTCACATTTTACAGTTCTCATTTTCTAGCGACTTGTTTTGACAGTTTCTTTGCCTTAGGCATAAGCCTTTCTGAGGCATTCTGCATCCAACCACCTTTAACAATCATTCAGAGTTAATATTACAGGAAATGCAATGGAAGACTAAAGAAGACTAAATACTAAACTCTGATCAGAGACTGAAAGGCAGGGGCTCAGAAGATGA